CCCCCCCCCCCCCCCGACTCAGTGTTTGGCCATGCATTACCCTCCTGCCCTGCTCAATGTCTGGCCACTGGGGGTACTTAGCTTAAAAAAGGTTGAAAACCCCTGATATATGGTAATATGATTAAAGCATTATGCAATAAAATTCAAGGCATTTGAGATGAACTGGTGGTAGAAAAAACTAAGGATGAAACACTGCAAGCAATGATACAGGCAACAAGTAAGGGTGGGGGGGAAAAAAAAAAAAATCACCTTTTCCTACCTGTATATTCTCAATATAAAAAATGAACTCTCAGTGACCTCAGGTATACTCATAAAGGGTACACAGGTTGTGAATCCTGATGTGATGAGAAAGAAAATTTTGGAACAAATACATGAAAGACATCTTGGAATTACCAAATCAAAAAGCAGAGCCAGAGATGTTGTCTTTTGGCCACAGATGAATAGTGATATGAATAATCATGGTGAGGAGGTAATGATCCATATCAGAATTACAGGGATGCCCAGCAAAAAAAGAACCAATGATAATCTATGAGCAATATTCCCTGGGATGAAGTAGAAATTGACCTGTTCAGTTTAGAAGATATAACCACCTGATTATAATGGCCTACATACAGTCATTTCCCAGAAGTAGTGATGACTGAAAATACCACAGCAACAACAGCTATCAGACACATTCAATCTATATTTGCATGGCATGGTATTCCAAGAAACTGTAACTACTAACAATGGACCACAGTTCATGAATAGGGAATTTTGAGAGTGTTCAAATGAATGATTTTGTCATGAGATTTCCAGTCCCAAATACCTTCAAGGAACTGGGCTGGCAGAAAGTGGAGTATGCATTGTGAAGAACCTGCTAAAAACATAAAGAAGAAGATCCTCACCTGGCACTACTCAACCACAGAACTACACCACTACAATGTGGAAAGTCACCTGCAGATCTTCTCTATAACAGGTGTACAAATACTTGATTACCGGAAATGGGCTAGAAATGAAGAGTGACAAAGGAGTCTGAAAAGTACTGAGAAGACTGAGAAAGTACAGATGCATCATTTCAACAAAAGAGCAAGGTCACTCCCACAGTTAAAAAAACATTCTGTGTGAATTTGGCAAGATGGACACTGGCCAGTTAAAGCTATTGCAATTAAAGAGGAATCAACTTGCCATACTTGGTGATCAAAGACGAAGGTCCAAATCTTAAGAAGGAATCAGACACTCTCTCAAAATAGCTGAGAACGAGGCTGATCTGAGTGAAATAGGAACAGAGACACCAGTTGAAAATAATTTACAAGTTGAGCCAGAATGTGACCCAGGACACTGAATGTTCAAATGCAGACAAGAGTTTAGGCAAAAAGGGAATGCAACAAGGTACAGCTGGAAGATTGCTGAAACAGCTCAAGAAATCAATCAAGACATGTTAGTTTGAGTTTGTAATAGTTATCTTAATGTTATGGATCTAGTTTTAATTTTATAAAAAGGGGAAGATGTGACACATAGTAAGAGTGGTAGATAAAACCTTTACTTCCTGTAGGAGCCATGATGTGCTTTTGCAATTAGGATGAGAACTTAATGTACAGCTCCAATACTAAATGCTGAAAGATAAAGCATTGCTAAATTGTTTCCATAAAACAAACACCTTTGAACAGAAATACCAGACCTGAGAAGAGGATATTTTGTATTATAAATCCCACCATTCACTTATGAAATGTATCTTTTAGTGGAATTATTATTTTAGTGGAAATTTTGTGCCTCCAATATATCAAGATTTTCTTTTTAATTATAAAGTCTGAAAGCCTAACATTCGAGAACAGTTATTGTAAATGAAACTACACATTTTACTCTAGCATTGTATAATTAGTGGGTGTAAACTGCCTTTACATCTTGCAAATCGTTTGAATGATCTGTTATTCCAGATGATTCTAGACTATTTGAAAGCCAGCACATGGCACATTACATTAGTATAGAAACTGTTGTACAATTTATACTGTTTCTAAACCTCCACATCTTTGCAATACTATCATACATGGAAAAAAAATATGGGAACAGTTTTGAAACTAAATAAAATAGAAAGGAGTTCACGAAGTGGCTACTCACCCACAGTGCTTCATATGTGGTGGCTTATCCATTCTCACTGCTAGTTTAATCTTCAAGTCAGTGTCCTGACTGTTTTTGGGGACTATCATTTTATGCAACTCAGGTGACTTTGAGCTATTGGATGTTGGATACAATATCACCTGTAAATCATAAAATATACACATTTTATTGCATTGGTACTCAAATCCTCCTAGAGTCTACTAACCAACTGAGAGTTTCACTGCACCTTTTCCAATTTGTAAAGAGATTGGAAAATCCAAGACACAGCTAATAAACCATTGACTCCATCTCATAACAGCAGATGGGCTTTCAAAGTGGACTAATTTATTTCCTGACAAATGAGTGTTTTCATATAATCAGATAACAAGTTTTTCTCCTTTGCTACTTCATTCTGAATTAACAGCTCAACAGGCACCAGCAGAACTGACAGTTGAGAAATGCTCATGTAAAATTAAGTAAGCATCTAGACTCTTAACTTCACTCAGTACCCCACAGGGAATGTGCCTAGTGAAATGATGTGCAGTGGTATTATACAATAGATAACCCTCTTCAGTAGTGAAATTAATTAGCTGAATGAGCACAGCAGATATATGGTCTCTATTGCCATATTGTATGAAATATGGCATCTATTGTAATGAAATATGGTCTCTTCATTACTCATTCAAAAACAATAATGAAAATCCATGATAGTAATATCATCAAACTTGAAGACTGTGCCTAGTCCATCTTGTTGCAAGTGCTCTGTTAAGTACTCTGATGTCTGTATACTTTATGTAACATACCACATTAATGGATCTATAGTAATGACATACAATTAGCAAAAATATTGAATTTTTATCTCTAATCAGTGAAAGACGTTTTGCTGCAAACTGTCCAAAACAAAAAGAAAATATTTTTAATCAGGTACAATTTTCTAATATATTTTTACATAGAAATAAGCAGTTTTGACTATAACACAACCATGTAGAGGCTAAATAAGATCAGAAACCTAGAGATGCTATATGAGTGTTACTAATCACATTTTGCTTCAGTTCTTCAATCCCATTAATGCTAGAGCCCTTGAACAGAGTATTTTCTAGCATTAATATCTCATTAATGTTAGAGCCCTTAAGCTGAATATTGTGGCCTCATGCAGTCAGTTTGTTCAGGCCTATCACCACCAAGGAACACAATTCCAAAATAGAAACAGGACCCTGTAAAAACCATGTACTCTACCTCTTTGGTACTACTGCTACATAAAAATCTACCACAACATCAACTGGTTTCATTATTTTATAAAACAGAGTATATATAAATATGATACAATGCATAACATACTATAAAAACTTTTCTGTGTAATTTTGAAAAGTTCAAATGAGGATTTAAGAATTCTCTAGGAAAGAGCAAGTGTAAAGGATGCTCTCCAAGACAAGAAAATTATAATAGTACTGTAATTATATCCTAACTCTCTGCAATACTAAGGGCTCTCAACTGACAGAATCTTTCACCATAGCACTATGCTATGGTACATATCACTGGTAACATCAATTGCTTCAATGAAAAAGAAAAACAGCCATGATAAATCATCGCATGAATGTGTTTTAAGTGTGAGAATTTCATAACACTAGTGGTAAAAGTAACTTGCTTAGTTCTGTTAGGTAGGTGTAATTCTTTTTCAAGAACTAGTAAAACTAATTGTATCTCTCAGTGTTAGGTACTTAGGAGAACTGCTTCAACTGTTCAAAACCAAATGTTATTTTCAGAGCAAGGGTTCCTAAGGAAGAAAACAGATTTTCATTTAATGTAAAATTCATCCCTTAAATAAATATTCTAAGCCACTATAAATAAGAATACAGTGGCATTTGGGTTCTGCTCACTGGGCATAAAAAATGATTTCTTGGTTTCTTTTCCTTTTAAGCAGAGACTACGTAAACAGCATTGTTATTCCTTCCTTACATTTAATGATTTTTGCATTTAATGACTTCATATATACTGAGGCATTCATGCAGAACAGTAGGTAATAATATGTGTTCTTCCCAGCCCTTCCATAGACTGTACTTACTGCTGTCCTGTAACAACTTAAGTCTGGCAAAATTTCTCTCATCTTGGTTTTTGTTGTTTGTTTTTTTCTAAGTTTGATGTAAACTCAAACAGACATGCTTGTTGTTAATTCATATTTATTCTGGTAGTTCTTACTGTCTTTTAAGAAATATTATCATAGAAAATTAAGGTTGGAAGGTACCTCAGGAGGTCATCTAGTCCAGTGGTTCTCAACCTTTTTTGTACCAGGACCCATATGTAAACATCAATGGCCAGTCCTGAACCAGCACCCCTCACTCCCGACCCACTGCTCTCTGCCCCAGGCCTCAACTCCCCAGTGTGTGGAGCAGGAGGTGGCTGCAGAGCATGGGGTCCCCAGCCAGCCCCTTGCAAGCTGTAACTCTGCCAGCCTGCAAGGGACAAGTCATGGTTTTCCACATTTTTCTCCTTTAAAGGAGAATCCATTTTTACAGTTTACTGATCCTTTATTTAAGTTTGTTGATGACCCTTTCATATATTCTTGTGACCCACTTTTGGGTTGTGACACGCTGATTTAGTCCAAACCCCTGCTCAAACCAGGACCATCCCCAAGTATATCTTCCCAGACAAAGCTTTGTCTAGCTGGGTTTTAAAAATCTCCAAGGATGGAGATTCCACCACCTCGCTGGCTTGCCTGTCCCAGTGCTTTACTACCCTCCTACAACTTTCCTCTCATTGCTGCAATGATAAGTAAATCTCTGGCACAACTCTGCGTACTGAAGGAAGTGAAGACAAAAACCATTAATGTAACCAGCAGTGCATTTGTGCTGGGAGAAAAGCACTTGCTCTGACACAAAAAGAATACTGTATGGATGTTCAAGAGATTTCTTGTGGAAAAGAACTGTATCTCCCACGAGAAGCTGGACCAGATTCCCTCCTCCTTATCTAATTCGAATGGCCATACACTTTTCTCAAGTGGGGAGGACTTCTGATATCCCACAGTCCTCTGCTCTTTCCCCCCTCCAACAAAAAGGGAGGGAGGGAGAGCACTGGCTCCCTGATAGCCCACTCAGGGGTGAGCTATCAGGGGGTCTTGTGGAGACCCTTCTCTGAAAAATTACTCCTCCTCCTGCCCTCCTCAGCTGACTGGCAAGCAGGGGTGGGGGAGGCAGGGGTGGGAATATCCTGCAGAGGAAAACCAGCAGGTTCCTCAGGCAGGAGAATGGCCTGCTCTACCGCCAATTCGCTGACTGGTAGCAGGGGGACCTTCTCCTGCAGTGGGAATCCTCCTAGAAGTGGCTGCTTGTGGCAGCTGAAGAGTATGTCTGTGTGATAAAGGTGCTTGCTGAAGGCTCTATGAAGATTAGACCAAGTGTTTGTCTGTATTTGTTTAGATATTAAGCTATATGTTGTTGCTAAAAGCCTAAGTATAGTTTAAGATGTAGTGAGGCCTTGTATAAAGTAAGGCCTAGTAAATTTAGCAAAGCCTAGAAGTAGTAAGGCCCTGTGGTGCAGTTAAAATTACCTTATCAAAGGAATGCAAGTCTTGTACTGCTATTGGTCAGTCTAAGGACAGTTGAAGTAAAAGGAATCTGAGTGGTTGTACGTTATCAGTGTCCTTCAAAAGCTATAAATTAGCTGGAATATCTGGAAACCGTTCAGAAGGAAGATGCAACTCTGTAAAAAGGATTAGTTAACTGTTGCCTGGATCATTGGGCCCGTGGACCTCGAGGAGCCCAAGAACTGCATTCCAGGGTCCTTCCTGGTACGCCTCGGACAGTGCTGATCAGGGATGCCTGACTTCGCTGAACTTTGTGGAAAGAGGAACTTGCTGTGCATCAGGCATCAGAGGGGACTGCCAATAAGTTGCCAATGCTAATTGCTTTTGTCTGTCATCATTTGTCTTGTTACTACGCGTAGCTGTGTTTTTGTTACGTCAATAAATCTTTCTTACCTTTCTACCCCTGACCACACTCTCAATCCTAAACCCTATGCAGGCGGCTGGGACAGTTCCTGTGGTGGCAGAATGCCCCTGCCTTTCCCCTGCTACTTTGCATCAGCCAGAGCATTGCTAGGAGAGAGAAGCTGCAATGCTGGGCAGGGCATCAAGGGTCATGGGGCCTGACTGCAGCAGCTGAATGCTCCCCATCGCCCCCTACTCCCCCACATTCTGGTTAGCTGGGAAGAGTCCAAGGAGTAGGCACTATGCTTCCTGTGGCAGGAAGTGGGAGGTTCTCACCACAGGAAAATGGCCCCTTCCTGCCAGTCAGTTGATTATCAGGATGGGGGTGGGGGGAGGGGGGGGGAGCATTTTCTCAGGACCAGAAATCCCTAGCTCTCTGTGGCAGCCACTGTTTTATCAGCATCTCCCAACTAGCAATTGACAGCTTGCTTCCTTCGCAGGCAGGCTGTCAATGAATAGGTTCCCCTAAGGCCAGAGGCAGCTTAAGGATCAGCCCTCTAGTGTCCTATGGCTGGACAGATCACTTGTGAAATTCTCCAGTCAGGTGATTGGAACAGATGTATGATCTAGCTCCTGGGTTATTTTCTACTAGTATGAATTTTGGAGGTCACATGACATTTCTTCATCATGCAGCATACACAGGACAGCAGAAGTGGATGTGGCACCTTTCCATGACTCTAAGCACAGTTTGATGTGATAGAAACCTGATCTCTATTTCAGGGATAGTTGAAGTGATTTGCACAAGGCCACCCAATTAGTCAGTGGCAGAACTAGGTTAGCACTCAGGACCTTCTAAATCTGTGCTCATTGTCAATTGACACAGTCAACCTTAATTCTGATATTAACTTCTCAGTCCTTGATTTAGCAATTCTAAAACCCCCCAAATTAAGCATTTTCTCTTCAGTTAAAAAATATCCTAGGAAATTTCAACTCCAAGCATCTTCTTGGCAGACATGTAGCTCATTGCCACATTTCAAATCTTTAGATTTAATACACAGAACTCTACAGGTTGTGCCACCTTCTATGTAATCCAGCACCTCAGGCAGATGACATCTACATATTGTTCATGGGTGCCAGAAAAGGGATCATTAAAGGCACAGGACAGGCTCTGTGCTGTCTCTTTTTGTGTCTGAATGCGTTAGTCTGTCCTGGAACAGTTGGGGAAGTCTGGCCTCTCTG